TCTCTCTCTCTCTCTTTCTCTCTCCTCTCTCTCTCTCTCTCTCTCTCTCTCTCTCTCTCTCTCTCTCTCTCTCTCTCTCTCTCTCTCTCTCTCTCTCTCTCTCTCTCTCTCTCTCTCTCTCTCTCTCTCTCTCTCTGTCTCTCTCTCTCTCTGTCTCTCTCTCTCTCTCTCTCTCTCTCTCTCTCTCTCTCTCTCTCTCTCTCTCTCTCTCTCTCTCTCTCTCTCTCTCTCTCTCTCTCTCTCTCTCTCTCTCTCTCTCTCTCTCTCTCTCTCTCTCTCTCTCTCTCTGACCAAAGTGTTTAAGTGTAACGTAGTGGCCATTTTTCTGCGGCTAAAGTGTTCAGTTTCCTCACTCAGAAAAGACGGTGTACATCTATCGCGGCTGTGAACATGATGTTCAATATGACTAGCTGGACGTGACGAACAGAATATTGAATACACTTTCCACCTGTTCTGAACATAGCTTTCGACTTGCGGCCCCTGTGAACAAAATACATATATGGACATTTCGGTGAAGAAAGTGTACAGCTTGCGGTCCAATCTCTCGTAATTCATAATTTCCTCCTATGTAAATCAGCCAATCATAATTTAATAGTGTTATATAATTTCCACGACGAGAAAACTGTATATAATGACTGTATTTAAACCAGAATATTTCATTATGTTACTTAGCGGCGACATTACCCATATATAAATCAGTGTGTCGAATGTTATGTTATACTGCCTATAGGACGTAATGATATGTCCAGACAAAAGCCCATTTGTGTTGCTGGACTGCTTAGGAATACTCAAACTATGTTATTATTCCACATCTATAATAATTTTGCTAGCATAATATGATATGTTTCAGTACAGTACCTTCGTTGTAATATATATTTATGTTTGTCCATTATGGTGAATCCTGATATTTTGTTTTATAGGTGTTTATGTCCAATAATTTGTATATTTATTGTAATTTATTAACCTCTGTACCACACATCAAGCTGAACGTACACCTCCACACGGACTAGCGGAAAAAAATTGGGGAGAAAGCCTTGAGTGACACGGAAGTGGATAAATTGGATTATCCACTTAACCCAGTGGATAAAGGAGTATCTGAGCGACAGAAGACAGTCACAAAGTGGTAGGAGAAACTTGAATGTAATGATGTAGTACCATTGTCGTCCCATAGCGGTCAGTAAAAAGACCAATCTTGTACCTCATCTACGTGAATGATTTGCCAGGAGTGATAGACCCCGGCCTTAAAATGACTGCTGGTGAGGTAAACGTTTTGAGGGCAGAAAACTGTGAAAAACAGCAAGAAACAACAAGATAACGTGGACAAATGGTGACAAAAACTGGTAGCTAATAAAAGAACTAAGACAAGTTGACCAGACCACACGCTAGAAAGTGAAGGGACGACGACGTTTCGGTCCGTCCTGCACCATTCTCAAGTCGATTGTGGTCTAGTCAACATACTTCAGCCACGTTATTATGACTCATCGCCTGCAACTAAGTCAAGTTAAAAAATAGTCACGATAGATATGATTACCACATACTAAATTCTCAGGAAAACACGCTGAACATACATGGTAGTCCCTGATGGCGCAGTGGTAACACATTCGCCCCGCGCTTCGCGAGCGATTAGTCTACATTCGCATCCTGGCCAGGGAGGATTGACTGTGGGAGGATGTGTCAGTCCTTATCTGTTCGCCTCTGTTTACCCAGCAGTAACTGATTGTGGTTCACGATCCAGGGAAAACTAGTGGGTAAGGCTTACCATAAGCTATGGGAAAAGAAAGTTCTCAGCCTGCTAATAAAAAAGTACTCAAATGAACAGATGCTCAACAGGAATATGTACTCTGGTTACCTGAGAGGCGAGACCAGTGAGCTAAAGCTCAACCCTCTCATGCACAATTAGGCGAGCACATGTTAAGCCGCACGTTCACCCTTCAATACCATCATAATATTTTTCCTTTTAAGTTTAAGTGTTGCGTTACGCAAGTCTAAAGATGAACGATGAGTGGTCTTAAGTGTCTTGAACTTGGTGAAAATAGTGGCGAGTTAAGACCCGTTATAACGTAACTCATGTCAGGTCTCCTGCAAGTTATATTACCGAGGTGGAAAGTATGCTCAGAGATGTTAACCTCTGTGTAAATGTATCACCAGATACTAACCTGTGTGTAAATGTATCACCAGATACGAACCTGTGTGTAAATGTATCACCAGATACTAACCTGTGTGTAAATATAATATGAGTTATTAACCTGTGTGTAAATATAATATGAGTTATTAACCTGTGTGTAAATATAATATGAGTTATTAACCTGTGTGTAAATATAATATGAGTTATTAACCTGTGTGTAAATTGTATAACATTCATTCATAATATACATCCTTTCACGTCTGAAAACTAAAGGATGTGAAAGGATTTGGAATTGTGGTTAAGATGAGGAGACGACGACGTTTCGGTCCGTCCAGGACCATTATCAAGTCGATCGAGTCGCTCAATCGACTTGATAATGGTCCAGGACGGACCGAAACGTCGTCGTCGCCGTCTCTTCATCTTCTGGCGTGTGGTTTAGTTTTCCCAATATCCATTTAACTCAACACCAACAAGCATTTCACCAACGTGTACCGGCAGTTGTTTACGTGAGCGGCGTGTCGATTGAATACAAACATGATGCAACAACTCCAGACTCCTTACAGACGAGGCTGTATCTTACCTCCCCCCCCTCCCCCCCTCCCATGGCGCCTGGGCTCCGGTTTGGCCAATTAGACCATTCGTCTGTGGTGCAGCATTTGTGTGTGACGTCAGCGTAAGGAGACGACGGGGGATGAATATGCATGTGTGAATGATGGGGATGAAAGGATGCTGGGAAGGGAAGGGATGGGGAGGGGTCGAATGGTTGGCTAGAGAGTACTTTAAACCCGGCCAGGTTACAGCACGTTCGATGGGGTTCAAAATGGTACGTCAGACAGCAATGGGGGAATTGAGAGATTGGGAGGATGTGATTTTGGTAAATCTGAAGGTTGTTGGTGGTAAGTCTGATGAATATGTGGGTGAAAAGTCTCAGATGTTATGGAAGTAAAACTGAGAAGTGTTTGTCATACCTCTGAGATATGTTGCTGAAAAGTCTGGAATGTATTTGCAATAATTCTGTGATGTGTTATTGGCAAGTATAGGATGTGTCGGTGGTAAATCTGAGATGTACTGGTGGTAAGTCTGAGAAATATTTGTGGGAAGCCTGAGAAGTGTTGTTGGCAAGGCTGGGACGAGGACAGTAGAAAAGGGGGGTTGAGTCGAGGTCAGGCTGAGGGGGGTTGGGGTAGGAATTTCTAAATTGAATTTTGCCCCCGAGAGGAGAATTTTTCGGGCGGTCTCACATTTCCTGTGAGTGAACACACTTCCATAAATGCAGTGTAATTCATCCCAAATTCCTGATGAATCAATGGTATATGTTCTCCGCTTGTGCAATATTCGGAAATTATTGTGTTACATATATATATATATATATATATATATATATATATATATATATATATATATATATATATATATATATATATATATATATATATATATATATATATATATATATATATATATCTGGAAATCCTACATGTCATTTTAAATCTCAATTAACTTTAGTTGCAAATGTTTTCGGTGAGCTCAAATACATCAGTGGTATTACATCTATATTACTGCAATATATTGAATTATACAACGTAATATTAGACAGCATCCTCCTCTCAACACAATTAATACACTTTTCCTCTCCTGGTGTCGCTCCACACACACACACACAAAGGTATTTCCTCCCCCATCCCTGACATGCACGTCCCACTCTCCAGGGGTAAAGAAACTATGACCTGAAGTATAGTATATTCTATACGTGCTCGTCAAGGAACATAACCGACGATATTGAGATGTTTGGGAACGCCTGAGGCCGGACACAATGTCCAATACATCAGTTCCAATGATGGACATCGTGTGTAGTGGACATGTGACTCCTGTTGTCCATCGGGGCACTCAGCTCGGTACATCAGCTAGTGTGTAAGTATGAATATACATTATTTACATTTAGGTTCTTAAATTATGTAATCTACAAGTCCCCTTATACAGAAGCCTCAGCAGACGAGAGGCTTATTGATATCAATTACATCGTTCAGTACAGCAACTGAAGCACCAAATTAGAGAAGGTATCTCTCCGGGGCCTCAGCAACAACACAGGAACACCTCTGCATGCCTGATGGGTCCTCAGTCTGACACATGAAGAGATAGCAAGATTGCACGCATGCATGGCTGCTGATATGCAAACTCAACCTTATTTAAAAATACGAGTTGCAACGTTCTCATAGCGCATAACTTGCCATGCTAGAATCTTTAAGCGAGAAGAAAATCAATGCGTGCGCATGAAGTGCGCAGTGTGTACTTACCTATTTGCGCCTCCAGGATCAAGTTCTAGCTCTTGGACCCCGAATGTCTATCCTGCGGTTGTCTAATGCAATTACTACTGATCGATTTCTCTATCATACTTGTGTGTGTTTTACTATTTGTATTTACTATTTGTCCTTCCAGAATCGAAATATTAGCTCTTGGACCCAGCCTTTCTAACCAATCTATTTTTCCTTTATTATGTCTACTAAATATATTTTTCTCTAACACACACATACACACACACACACACACACACACACACACACACACACACACACACACACACACACACACACACACACACACACACACACACACACACACACACAGGAAGCAGCCCGTATCAGCTGTCTAACTCCTAGGTACCTATTTACCGCCGGCGCCGGGTATCGAACCCCGGTTTCTAGGTCCACAAATCTTGAGAGCTGTCCACACCAGCACCCTGTGCGTGTGCGTGGTTGTAGTTGTAATTTCACAGAGATGTGTGTAAACACGAACGTACAATCAGTAAATAATCTCAACACAGGTGAGTCTCCCGCGTTGGGGAGAACGATGATCTGATCCTCTCTCACGCCCCCAGGGTCTTCCTCACGCCCCCCGGCTCTTCCTCACGCCCCAGGCTCTTCCTCACGCCCCCAGGCTCTTCCTCACGCCCCCAGGCTCTTCCTCACGCCCCCAGGCTCTTCCTCACGCCCCCAGGCTCTTCCTCACGCCCCCCAGGATCTTCCTCACGCCCCAGGCTCTTCCTCACGCCCCCCAGGCTCTTCCTCACTCTCCCAGGCTCTTACTCACGCCCCCCAGGCTCTTCCTCACGCCCCCCAGGCTCTTCCTCACGCCCCCCAGGCTCGTCCTCACGCCCCCCAGGCTCTTCCTCCCGCCCCCCAGGCTCTTCCTCACGCCCCCAGGCTCTTCCTCACGCACCCCAGGCTCTTCCTCACGCCCCAGGCTCTTCCTCACGCCCCCAGGCTCTTCCTCACGCTCCCCAGGCTCTTCCTCACGCCCCCAGGCTCTTCCTCACGCCCCCAGGCTCTTCCTCACGCCCCCCAGGATCTTCCTCACGCCCCCAGGCTCTTCCTCACGCCCCCCAGGCTCTTCCTCACGCCCCCAGGCTCTTCCTCAAGCCCCCCAGGCTCTTCCTCACGCCCCCCAGGCTTTTCCTCACGCCCCCCAGGCTCTTCCTCACCTTCCACCATTCCCTAACCACTCGAGACTGTTGGAGACACAGCATCCCACCTTATAACGTGGTTATAAAACTGTGATATATATATTGACTGGCTTTCTGCCCCAGTAATACGAATTATTATTAATTTTCTCCAATTAAAATTTTTACACCAGATACACCTGAGAATTCGAAAAAAATCAGGTAAATGAAAATATTAGAGAACAGGAAATAAGAATGCTAGAGGCGGGCCATTAAGAACTATAGAGACTTTACTTCCCTCAAGTCATTGGTAGATAGGCAATGTTAGGTAAGCCCGTTTTGGAGTTGAATGCAGGTGAGGAGAAAATTATCCTAATGCGTTTATTCCTCTCCTATCCCGACTCTCTATCCCTCCCCCCCGCTATCCTCGACCACAACCCCCTCCCCATCAACCCTCTCGCCCTCTTTCTGCTACTCATCAAACCCCCCCCCCCCCTCCGTCCACCTCCATCCCACATCTTCATCCTCCCCCCCTGTATATATGATGGTTCTGCACGCATGCACATTCATACACGGTCACGTGCACACACACACACATATGACCATGTGCACGGTCGGCCATGTGCACGCAAGGCCATGTACACGAGCAGCAATGTACATATTAAAAAATTCCTTACTGTTTTCACCAACGACTTCTGTGCCCATCATTAATTATCTCAAATCCGAACAAATACTTTGTATTTGTCTCTGTCGTGTTGGTTGGTCATTTATGCCCAGTACTGTGCCCCCTCTCTGTCGTGTTGGGTGGTCATTTGTGCCCAGTACTGTGCCCCCTCTCTGTCGTGTTGGGTGGTCATTTGTGCCCAGTACTGTGCCCCCTCTCTGTCGTGTTGGTTGGTCATTTATGCCCAGTACTGTGCCCCCTTTCTGTCGTGTTGGGTGGTCATTTATGCCCAGTACTGTGCCCCCTCTCTGTCGTGTTGGGTGGTCATTTATGCCCAGTACTGTGCCCCCTCTCTGTCGTGTTGGTTGGTCATTTATACCCAGTACTGTGCCCCCTCTCTGTCGTGTTGGGTGGTCATTTATGCCCAGTACTGTGCCCCCTCTCTGTCGTGTTGGGTGGTCATTCATGCCCCGTACTGTGCCCCCTCTCTGTCGTGTTGGGTGGTCATTCCTGCCCGTCCTTGTCATCTTGTGACTGTTTATAATCAATGACATTAATAGACCATTATGATGATGGAAGTGATACTCGTATCTCTCAGTTAATTCTGACATACAAATGAGTTCCCAATATCCCTTAATTGTTAATTTATATGTTTGCACAAGTGGGAGCTGCAGTAAAAGAGCCAACCAAACCATAGAAGAAGTTGAAAGAAGTTGAAGTTTACTTGACCTAAAGTAAAAAAAAAGTAGTAATTCAACTGTACTGGTGCGCCCCCCCCCCCCCCCCCCCCCCCCCCCCCCCCCGTCCATCTGGACGACCGTATCCAGGCATGGCGACGTTATGTTCTGAAAGATATATCTACTTAGGAAACCGTTCAATACTGGGCGAAAAAAATCATTCCAGAATTAAGTCCAGACACTCCAAACCAAACTTGACACATCTTAACTCATCGAAACTTTTAAAATAGTGAACAGTTTCGAGGATTTTGATCCAGACCACTTCTCTGAATGTTCAAATGTTACCCATATATGGAACAAAGCTACATAGCTTAAGCTCCAACATTGAACAGGGAGAAGGAGATGCCTTTTCACTCATAGGATTACACACCTATGGAACCGCCTTCATGCTAAAGCCGTAATGCCCAACACATTGCTTCAGTTCAAAATCCAGCTGGATAAAATTATCAGGAAAAAATAGGCTGACCTTTGACAAGCCGCCAGGTTCCTATCGCCGTCGAGAGTTGGTGGTTCTCAGGGTAAATTCAGATAAATTTACGCCACCAAATACCGCACCATTTACAATCACATTATTATCAACCCCACTACCACCATCTGCACTACCACCATATTATACAGCTTCCACCACCATCATCAATACCACTACCACTATCGACAAGTATATTATCCCCACTATCATCTACTCAACCACGACCACTACCAACTACACTACAATATTCACTACCACACCCGTCAACTACATCACTGCCAATAACAAAACCACTATCTACACTACTACCAACAACGACATTTCCACCACCAACAACTACTTTGCCACCACCACCACCACCACCATCAGGTACACCACTAATTATAAACCACCACTTATTAATTCACCACGAAGCAACAACAACCCTACCACCACCATCACTAACTAGACCACTAACATCACCAGCAACGAAACTAACAACACCCAATACACCACTACCACCACCACCACAGACTACATTACTATAATCACCACCAACTACACCCCCACCCCCAGCCCCACCACCAAGCCACCACCATCTGCTGCCCAACTGGCTCTGTAATCTATGGTCGAGTTATAATTGTGAATAATCACCATAATTACATACAGACTCCACCCTAATCCTTACCTGTTGGACATCTATCATCCTTAAAGCATTGAAATTAAGGGTCCGCGTTCAAATATTCTACGGATAAGTGGGCCCCTTCGCCTGGCCCATATAATCTAGGTCCGGACGCAAATGGATGCAAAGGGGCCCCTCCTTCCCTTCCATACTTCAGGGCCCCTTAGACATTATTAATTTGGAAGACGCCATAGCAAGATGACATTGGTTGCCATCATTAGCGAGACACGTAAAGATGACCTAAAGGAGAGGCTTGGGGTCACCGTCAGCTTCCCAACGACGGCCTGGTTGGGACCCTCCGTAACAACCCATAATGCCCATGGCAAGAATGCTTGACCCATCTTTAAGCTCCCATAGTCCCCAAAATCAAGGCTGCTTAGTTAATCTTCAGTTTCCATAATGCCTCGTGGCAAGAACTTATGATCTGCCTCCACCTCCCACTGCTCCCATGGCAAGGTTAAATGACCTCACCTCCACCTCCCACTACGCCCATGGCAAGGTTAAATGACCCCACCTCCACCTCCCACTGCTCCCATGGCAAGGTTAAATGACCCACCTTCACCTCCTACTACGCCTATGGCAAGGTTAAATGACCCCACCTCCACCTCCCACTGCTCCCATGGCAAGGTTAAATGACCCACCTCCACCTCCCACTACGTCCATGGCAAGGTTAAATGACCCACCTCCAACTCCCACTGCGCCCATGGCAAGGTTAAAGGACCCCACCTCCACCTCCCACTGCTCCCATGGCAAACCTGTATGAATTAGGCTAATAACTGTCCTCGTTTTCCTGTTCTACATTCAGAACTTTTCACTAATATATTCTTTACCAATGTTCCTAATTATCTTATATGACGCGATCATATCTCCTCTCTGTTTTATCTTATCTAATGAGGCAAGATCCAGCTACCTCAGCCTTTCTTCGTACTCCATATATCTCAGCATTCGCAGGTTATTTTTTTTAGATGGAAGCTTCAAGCATAAGCGACGTATCCATGATCAACAAGGATGTTTGCCAGTGTTGCAAATACCGATGACTTGCTTATATGCTCACCAATTTATATTCACTTAGTTGTGCCTGCAGGATTGAGCTGAGCTCTGGCATTCTGTCTTCTAATCCACCCGTTTTCTATTGCAATGACTCCCGACTACATTCTTTGGATTAATCTTCTAACAATCCACTATATTTTCTCAATCTACATTTTATGTTTATATTACTACTACGAGTCCTACCAGAGAGAGAGAGAGAGAGAGAGAGAGAGAGACAGACAGACAGACAGACAAACAGACAGACAGACAGACAGACAGACAGACAGACAGACAGACAGACAGACAGACAGACAGACAGACAGACAGACAGACAGACAGACAGACAGACAGACAGACAGACAGACAGACAGACAGACAGAGATAGAGTGCGTTGAACAATAACATTTCCAAATATACCTAATAACACTGAACAAAATCAGCTGAACATCCATTTCTCAACTTTCATCTGGTATCTGATAACAGCGTCTAAGCCCATTTAATCCACCAAGAGCACTGTCGCAATCCGCGCCACGCTCCAGGTCCAAATATTTTCCCAAGACACAAACGGGAGGATCACTCTGATAACCTTCCTCTTGGGGGTCGTCAAGAGATTACAATACTGGTCATACAACATGATGTGGGTGAGGGGCTACTAGCTGAGGAAGTGAGGGGTGAGGAGCTACTAGCTGAAGAAGTGAGGGGTGAGGACCTACTAGCTGAGGAAGTGAGGGGTGAGGAGCTACTAGCTGAAGAAGTGAGGGGTGAGGAGCTGTTAGCCTGGAGTTAGAGACGCCAGACTAGGGGCGGTAACTCGTTAAGGGAAAATGCTTCAATCTCAAAAAAGGAACAATATTAAGAATGAATTTGGCCTACACACTAGGGGGGTGCAAGGGACTCCTAGCTAAGGGTGGGAGGGAGGGAGGTCACAGGCTACATGTCTGGACTACCAGCTGGGGGACAGAAAGTAGCCTTACCTACCTTCGGATAGGCTCTTGGGCTGAATACTAATCTACATTTTCCTTGAAAAGCTAACCCAACCTTAAAGTAGCTCCTTGAGAATGTTCTCAAAATTGTGCTCCTCAATCTCATTTATATATTGTATTTGCTTAATGCTCTTGTGCCTGAAAAAAAGATTTAAACATTTTATACATTAAAAATTTTAATATTAAAGATTTGAACATCTTATACATTAAATATTTTATTATTAAAGATTTAAACATTTTAAATATTAAAGATTTATGTTAAAATTTAAGACATTTCTTAACATTAATATATATTACTGTAGATCACATTTTTAGACGCATCAGAATGTGTGGAATTGTAGTTGGATGTGGCAATTTGGATCGCCACATTCTTGAATATACATTTATATACATTTTCATGAATATTAATGTTTGTATATAAATAGCAGCTTTCTGTTATGGACCAATAGGAGCTGCCTCCTATACACCAATAGGATGGCTAATGTAGGGTGTATGGGGCCATTTGTTAGGGTATATGTAGGGATATGTTGGGATTATATGAAAGTATATGTGGAGG